TTAAACCAGTAATAGTCTTATCATTTCTGTCGACTATGAAATACGTTTTTGGTACATATAACAATGCAAAATTGTAGTAAGTAAAGCCATAAATAGTTTCAGTTTCAAGATATCGACAATATAAAAAAATATATTGTACTTTCTCGTTGGTTTTGCTACCTATTACGAAATATTTATAGTGATAAGAATGCTTTCTGAAGCATCTTATTAGAAAGTACATCCAATGTTGAATTGATTAGCTGGATTTTTCTCTTCAGACGAGTGCAACTAACCAAGATATTGATTATTGAAGGAAGTTCATCATACTTGCAGTAAATAAGAATGTATGAAAAATTCTGATGGATAACATATTAATTAGCTTTCGTATTTAACGAGTTTTTCGATAAATTCACGTGTGAAGAATCATTAAAAATTTGCTGATCTAGCCAAAAGAAAAAGATCGTTAGAATTTGAAAACGCGTTAATTTTGCGCACTTTTAACGCGTTTTCATGATCAAAATTGTAACATTTTCGATCATTAATTTTTTAACGAATTTTCACGTCACAAAGTTTCGTTAAATTAGTAAAAATTTTTACATGGGATATCTCTATTCTTGACAATAGAATTTACATTTAAGTAAATTTTATATATTTTTTATTTGTTCTAATAGGCCAACATTTATGGAACTTCTGCAAGAACTTGGTAGTAAACCATATATTTCACCTATTCCACGTTCATTTCAATTGACATTATTTGATGGTATTACCCCTATTCTTGATCATAATTTAGACTTAGCTGATTTTAAAAATCTTGATTGTTAGTATTTATTTTCTTCTTGTAAAAGTAAGAAAGAAAAACTTTTCTCTTTCTTATTATTCAGCTAGTCCATTTCGATGTCGAACAATTGATCAAATTTATTATTTATGGAAATTAGCAGGTGGTGATTTAACAGCTGTATTAAAAAGTGCTGGTCTTATTAAAATATCACCATCAATTAGTAAAATATCAAAGTAAGAGAGAAATTTGTTTTGAAAAACGAAAAAAAATTATCTTTTTGTTTACTTATTGATTAGATTTGTTACTGATCATGGTGATGTATATGGACTTCAACGTGATGTAAATACTTTATTTGATGATGCATCATATAAACTTTCATTAAAAGAACTTGAAAATCGTTTTAATGATATGCCTATTGAAATACTTCATCCACTTCTTGAAGGAGGGTAATAGGCCAACAAAAAAGAACGAAATTTCACAAAAAAACAAAACAATTCTTTTTTTTTCTTTTAATTATTAGTGATCCAGAATTTGATAAACGTCAAGAAGAACTTGATAAAATGATTGAACGACAACCATTAGCTGTTCGTGAACATGATTTTGAATATCAAGTAAAAATAAATGAAAATTTTAATATTAAACAAAAAAAAAGATTTCGAAATTCTTCTTTATTAATTTAGTTTCATCGTTTAATTTTATTTGAACGTCTTCTTTCATCATATCCATATCAAAAACAACGATTATATACAGAAGCACGAAAAGATATTCCACCACTTTATCGTGCATATATTTGGGCAGCTTTACTTGATGTTTCTGTATGAGTTTAATATTCAAAAAACAAAAATCTTTAAAATTTATTGTTTTCTAGGGTAATGTAAATGATGTTTATAATCGAATTGATAAAGATAATACAACACCAACAGTAATACGTCAAATAGAAGTTGATATTCCACGTTGTCATCAATATGATGAACTTTTATCATCACCTGAAGGTCATAGAAAAATGAAAAATGTTTTAAAAGTAATTATTTTTTTTTATTTTCGAGGACGGAAGTGCATAAAGACCAGTTTTAGCCTACTTAATTATTTCTCAGAAAGGAACATAATAATAACCAGATTTTTTTTAACGCTTGAGCTGACAAATCTAATAATGTATAAATATTTCTTGTAGCTCATCATGTATGCTATTAGCAATGAAATTTTAGTAATATGTTCATTGTTATTTTCTGAGATATTAGGCCCTCAAGATCGACTAGTGGCTAAAAAAACATCGATTTGGGTTGCTTCAGCATTCTATTCCACTCAACCAAAAATCATTTATATAATGTTTTGATACCAAAATATAGCTCTACGGATCACATAATGAGTGAGCTCATTAACTTGTAATTCCATCTCAAAAGAAGCATCTATTCTCTTAGCTCACAACAAGAAGAAATGTGATGGTCAAGTGTGTAAAGTAGCATAAGTACTCATAATTCTAAACTCTACGACAATATTTATACACGGTTAAATTTGCTAGTTCAAGCACTACAAAATCTGGTCATTTTATACGTTCCTTTCTGAGCAAAAAAATTAAGTGGACCAAAACTGATTCTTATGTACCTCATCCTTCAATTATTATGTTTTTTCTTTGCTTACAGGCTTGGATAGCAAGCCATTCAAATTTAGTATATTGGCAAGGTCTTGATTCATTATGTGCACCATTTGTTTATCTAAATTTTAATAATGAAGCACTTGCTTATGCTTCACTAACAGCATTTATTCCAAAATATTTAAATAATTTTTTTCTAAAAGATAATTCATTAATTATTAATGGTAAAGAAAATTGTTAAAAGAAAAAAGAATGAAACGGAATTATTTATTCTATTATAGAATATTTGGTTGTTTTTTCACATGTAATTGCATTCCATCATCCAGATTTATCAAATCGATTGGAAACAATCGGATTTATTCCAGATCTTTATGCTATTCCATGGTTTTTAACTGTTTTTGCACGTAAGTTTAAATTAAATATAATATCTATTAATTTGTCAAATATTACAAAAGAAAATTGATAAAAACATATGAAAATTTTCTCATAAAAGAAGATTCAAATTTTTTTTGTGATATCACTGTGAAACAAACAGGTGTAGATTAATAAACGGATAGTGAAGGTTTATTATTTCACACTTTTTTTTTACAGGAATGTATAGATTTATTTTGAGATTGATAATAAGAGTAATGTCTGCTCTAGAATTCAAACGAAATGGTTGTAAGCTCAATAACTCAATAATGGCAACAGCTAGCGATCTGTGGTTTTAAGCAATCGAAAAAGAAGAAAACCGAATGTTCTTTTGTCTGATAATATATATGACAAAATTTTTTTAAAGCCCATCGCTTCCGCAAAACATAACGGTGTTCCATTGAAAAGAAATTTCGGTAAAAAGTGAGAAAATTTCCTAAAAATCAATACTGTTTCCATACATTTTTAAAAACATGTTGCAAAAGATAATGCGTTTCAAAAATAACTGTGTCTTATATAGTATCAGACAAAATAAAACATCCTGAGTTCTCTCTTTCAATTGCTGAAAATCTCAGGTCGCTAGCTGTTTCTATTGTCGAATTATTGAGCTTATAGCCATCTCGCGTTAATCCTGGCGTAGATATTAGAATAAAAAAAAACTCAACGTATCATTAAGTGTTGATTGCTGAAATACGATCGGTTCGGTTCCAAAAACAAAAATTGCAAACTGATTTCATCTCTGGTTATTTAATTACAAGTGATATAAACAAACGTTTTATTTATCCTCTAGAGCGTAAAATTAATTAATTCTCTTAATTGAAAAGAAAACTTCATGACACTAAATTAAATTTGTATTAATATTTTTTTTTATTTGTTGAACTATTTTTTGTTTATTATATTGGTTCATTAAATTTAGATGTATTTCCACTAAATAAAATCTTTCATCTATGGGATATGCTTTTACTTGGTAGTTCATCATTTCCACTTTGTATTGGTGTGGCTATATTAACACAACTTAAACCACTTCTATTAAAAGCTGATTTTAATGAATGTATTTTATTATTTTCTGAATTACCAGGTTTGATTTTTGTTTTTTTCTTTTAAATAATACTAACGTATTTTCGAAATATAATTTGACAAAATGTTTATTCATTTTTCAATCTCTTAAAAAAGAGTCTGCAGAAATTTGAAAACATTGAATTTGAATCAAAATTTTATATTGTTTCCGAATGGTGTTAGATGTTATAAGCCGACCTTTTAGAGGCACGAAAATTAGGTTTGAACGGAGAAAATTGACGTTTTTTTGCAGCAATAGACTGAAAAATGCATGAACATTTTGTCAAATTACTTTTCGATAATCTCTTTTTTGTTTTTTTTTTAGAAATCGATATTGAACGTTGTATTCGTGATTCAATTGATATATTCGTTGCAACTCCCCGTTCATGTACTTATCGAGAACATGCAAGTGATATAACAAATTATCCAATAAATAATGATCTTGTATGATCAATTGTATAAATTCTTCTTGTTTTTCTTGAATTTTTGTTTTTTGTTGTTCAAATTTAGGATATGGATCCATTTCCATTCTCTGATCTAAAATCTGAACGTTGTCCACGAATATCTGCAAATGATATTGTTGAATTAAATGATCTTAAAGCTCCAACAGCAAGTTTAAAAACATCCAAACTTCTTCTTATAGATATTCGTTCATTAGATGAATATATGAAAGCAGCATTACCATCAAGTATTAATATATCATATGAAAAAGCATTTGATAATCAAGATCGTATAATTGATAATCGTTTACAACATATACTTGATCAACATCGTTCATTAGTTAAAGTTGTTATTGGTAATAAAAATCATAAACAAACAGTTGATTTTACAAATAATTTAATTACAAATAATTATACACGTGTATGTTTATTACATAAAGGCATTGATGTTTTTAAAACAACTGGAATGCTTTATGTACCAACACCATCTGATTTGCCTTAAAAATGAATGATAAAATTTCTTATTTTGGTTGGTTGTTTGTTTGTTTGTTTGTTTGTTTGCTTTTTTTACATCTATTTTTCAAAGATTTTCTTTTGTTTTCTTCTTTTATTTTATTGCATTTGAATGACTTGAGCCGGTGCAATATGAGCACATAATTATCAAAATAATTAATCTTGTTTTTCTTGTGTTAGATATTTTCTTGTAATTGACCGACCAGATCAGTTTGTTAGACAAAATTTAACTTTTATTTAAGAATTATATTAAATATCTTTCGTTTTTTTTTCTATTCCATTGAACTTTGATCAGAAATTCTTAATTGTATAAATAGAGGAAAGAAAAAGGACCGGCCGCATTATACATACGTTGAATAAGCATGCAATAGGTACATGTCAATTTCTATTAAATGATTGAAATAACAGGACAAAATATTTTATAATCTATTATCATTCTTTTTTTTTTTTTTGTTGACTTATTTCAGATTAATACAACGAGAATGCTTAATAATATTCGACAGGTGCTAATTTTTTTTAAATAATTTAAAATTAAGACTTACCTTTGTTTTTTGTTCTCTAGATTTTTCCTCGAATTATTCGTCCAACAATGATGTTGACTAATATTCGTTCCAGCACATCAAACGCAGACAAATCACCTGTAAGTAATATAAAGGATTAACCTTGAAGGCTTTTTTTTCTATTTTAATATTTACTATAGGTCTCAGCAAATGTACCTAGTGGTTTGTGGAAACTTGGTAAACTCAATCATATAGCTGTTGCTGTTCCTGATTTAGGTAAAACAATTGTTTACAGAAATTTCAGCCTAAGAAATTTTCGACTCAGGCTTAAATTGGCCTCATTAATCTCTATAAGAAAAAACTTATTTCTTTAATCAGTTGCTACATTCTGTAGTGATGAGCAGTATGTATTTTCATTAAGACGTACTACTCAGCAAGATAGCGTAATGCTGATGAAGAAATTACCCGCGGTGATACTTCGCATTCGAGATGAGATCCCAGTCATTACGTAGGACCGGTTGAGACTAGAAGAAATCGAGAAGAATTCTTTCCAATGCGCTGATCTTTTGGAGTTATGGCCGTTACACTGGTTTTTTTACTTTTGATATAGTATTTATTTAAAAAAAATCGGATAAATGAATTAAAGCCTAAAACTTTAGCTATAGACAGCTCTTGAAGTTAGTATAATCTATTAAAAAGAATGATCTCTTCTCTAGATATCAAATTCACAAAAAAGAAATATGACATTCCAAAATCTAGTTCTTGTGTAGAATTGATATCTCGAGAAGAGACTACTATTTTTGGCTGAGTTTCTTTTAGGAAATTCTAATGACTTCAAAAACTGTCTATGAGTAAAGTTTTAGGCCGTAAATCCGTTCGTCCGGATTTTTTTTATAAATATCATGTCAAAGATAAAAACATCCATTATAACGATTATAACTCTAAAAGAGCAACGCATGAAGAAGAATCATTTTAGGTTTCGTCTAGTCTCAACACATCCTAAGTAATTACTGCGGTACCGCCTTGGGTGGTACCCTTGTCAACACTAGGGTGTTCTGCTGAATATTACGAAATGTAGCAACTAATTAAAGAAATAAGGCTTTTTATAGGGATGAATGAGATCAATTTAGGCTCACGCCGAAATTCCAGCCTTACAAATCAATCAGATAAGAATTTTATAAATTCTTTGTGAAAAAGTAAAAGTAAATCAATCTACTGCTTCAATACTAATATATGACAACAAATTTTTAAGCTTAAATTGTACATATAATATTTTGAGTGTTTATAGGCTTTAGTTCAAGATAAAATTGCATTGAATACATCGATTTTATTTTTCTTGATGTATATATATATTCTTAAAATATAAATTTAGATCAAGCAAGTAGTTTTTTTAAAAATATTCTTCAGGCAAAATCAGTTAGTGGAGCTGTACCACAAAAAGAAGATGGTGTTTATACAGTTTTTGTTGAACTAGATAATATGAAAATAGAAGTAAGTCAATAATTAATATTATAGTAAATATTTTTTTAAAAAACCACCAAAATTACTCATTTTTAAGCTTGTACATCCACTTGGTGATGACAGTCCAGTTGCAAATTTCTTAAAAAAGAATCATAGCGGTGGAATTCACCATATTTGTATTGAAGTATATTTCAAAAAAACTGTGTTTTTATTCATATGCTGTATTTAACTTTTTTCTTCCAGGTTGATAATCTTGAAGCTGCAATAAAAGAAATTCGAGAACAACATATTCGAACACTTAATGATAAGATTGAAATTGGCGCTCATGGTAAACCAGTTATGTTTCTTCATCCAAAAGATTGTGATGGAATACTTATTGAACTAGAACAAGCGTAATATCAAATTGGAGCCAAAATTTCTTCGGGCATTTATTTTTTTTTTTGTCATCATTTAAACAAGCTTTTTTCGTTAAAATTGTTTCTTTTTTTGCTCAGTACCGCTTTTCATGGCAATCTTTTGTGTGCTCCTCTTTTTGTCTAGATAAGATACCCAGTCTTTTTGATCTCGATAGTCTTGCTCGGTATCTTTGATGAAAGTGATTAATTGCAATTTTTACCCTCATGATTTAGTTTCTTTTTGATTGTTAGACTTTATTTCCTATATATGGGAGAATCTATTTATCCAATTGATTGTACTTAATAACAATATAGATAACAAACTACGACAAACATAATAAAGATTATTGTCATCTAGATGAAATATACTACATTGAATTTGATAACAAAGGTATATTCCAATTTGTGTTTATTTTCTTCAAATTTCAATAGAAAAAAAACACCTCTTAAACTAAAGAATATATCATTTTCACAATTGTTTATGACAATATTTTATTCTTTTCTCTCTATTTTTTTATTATTCTTTTTAAATTTTGATTTCCATATGATGATCATCTCATTGATTTGATGAGAATAACGACAAAAACTATTCAGCATAAGCGTAAATCCTCTACCATTAGTTATCAAGAAAAAAAATTTCTTCATTCATCTGAAATAGTAAATCAATGAGACTAAAGATATATCAAAATGAATAATCTACTAAATGAATAATCGATTACATCATCTTCTATATCAATAAAACAGATAAATACATGTTGTTCATGTTTAAAACATCAACCAGATGGATTCTATCGAAGGAAAAAAATAACTTTCAGTCAAATATCTTGCCTAAAGATAATACAACCGATAGATTATCTACAGGCGGTAATACATCAGGTTGAGTATCAATTACACATACTCAACTTCAACTAATGGAAAAATATTGCAAGAATCAACATTAACATTCCCATTTGATATTGATCTTATTGAGGAAAAGAAAAAAGAGCAGAGATCAACTATGTTTGCCAAAGAGTAAAACAAAATGCAAATAAACTTCAATTAAATTATTTCATATTATCTGATGAGTAAAAGAAAACACAATATTTAATTATATGTATATTTTTTTTCTGGCTTTTTAATTGATTGCATATATATATATATATATATAGACATACATTTAAACAAGAGTACTATGATGACCACTAGTAGGCGATGGCGAATCATCGTTCGAACTCGAACCACATAAATCACGTGCTTCTCGACGTTTAACACTTAAAAATTGTGCACCGGACGAAGATGAAAGTGGAGCTGTTTTTGAACGTGAATATGGTTTTATTTCTCGTAAAAGTGAAGTGTCTGATGTTGCTGCTGTTGTTGTTGTTGTCGTTGAAGATGTTGCAGAAGTTCGTAAAATAGGTGATGGTGGTGGTGATGGTGGAGATTCTTTTATATCTAATGAATTCGGTCTTATAATAGATGAAGTCATAACATCATCAAAAGAACTTATATTTATAATAGGTTCAGTTGGATGTCTTAAATATGGTTGTTTTTGTTCTTGATTAGATATGGATGTAAATGGTTCAATAACACGAAATATAATTTGATCTATACTTGCTTCACGTATATCACGTACACGTGGCATTTTTGATAATGATTGTTGAGTTTGATTTGTAAGACGTTGTTGTGATGATGACATAGGTACTTGAAGAAATTCTGATGAACGTGATGCATGTGTTGATGTACATGGAAAATCTGAATTACGTCGATGATTATAACGACGAAGTGTTTGTTGTTGTTGATTAGATCGATTTGTTTGAGGAATGATTGAGGAGAAAATACTACTTGTTGCATTTGGTGTTTCACATAAAAGTGGTGTCAAATCAAGTGACATTAATAAACGTTCATTAAATTCATTTAATTGCATAGAAGTTATTCTAAAATATAATTATTAACTAATGACATTAACATTCATTATTATAATGAGTACTTACCCACAACCTTTTTGTACTTTAAATGCTAATGCCCTCATCAATTGTGTACTATCTAATTCATTTAATACAAGACATATTTGATTATGTAAATCTTTAGGTATCTAAATAAGATAATTATATAAATCATTTAATATTGAAATATGAAAACAAAGAAAAAAAAAATAGATGATACCATAAAAAGATCTTTATACTGTTCAATCATCATTTTTAAAACAGTTTTTCCTTGTTCCATTTGATCAGCACTCATAGCTACACTCATATCTTTACTTGATATCACCGGTGCTTTACTATCCATAAGTATTGTTGGTGCAAAAACAATAGCTAAATTTGCTGTATCCATTTTATTACCAGGTATAAAAAGTTTTCCATCAGCTGTATAACGATCTTGAGAATTTAAAGAAACATGATAAAGAAATTTTAATAATGTATATAATGTATCTCGATTTGATGATGGTAATAAACCAATAAGATATGAAAGAACACGAGATTGATCTTTTGGATTAAGTTCTAGACAAGAAAAAAAAACCATTAACATTCATATTTAGTTTAAATATAAACACATATACTTGATGGAATATTAAGAAATGGCGCACATAAATCGCGTGTCAGTAATGGTTCAGGTAATTCACGTAGAAATTCTTTGATTAGACCAGCTATATCATGTGCATTTGTTGATAAATCAAATGTTAAACTACGACTTAAATTAACTTGATCTTTAAGCTAAAAAAAGAAAAAAAAAAATTTTAATCTTATTTTGACCTTTATTTTTTCTCAATATTGATTATTAACAAATAAATAAGTTTATATTATAATGACATTTGCCTTTGGTTATTCAGAATTATTTGACATTTAAGACTTACTTCTTTCAAACGTTTTTTTGATACACCAACTCGAAATAGACCAACTGTTTGTAATGCTAAAATACGCAAAAAAGAAAACAAAGTCTTGTTTACCGAACAAAACAAAAATATTCAATATTATTTACCATTTTTTTCTAAAAAATCACAACAATTTTGTATTAATTCCGGTACTTTAGCTGGATAACATCGTATTGTATTACATCTATTTATACTAGTACCCGGTTCATTTCCAGCTAATGCCTCAAGTGATACTGATCGAATTTTAGTGTGTTCATAATCACAATCTGATATCTAAATTTAGAGTTAGGTTTTTTTTTTTTTTTTTATAAATATTCAATTTATTTTAATTTTCTTTTTTTTTACATGTAAACTACTTGGACTTGCAGGGGAAATTGAATATCCACTATCATTTGTTGATGAAACACTTCCGGATGGACTTGTTCGTCTTTCATTGGTTCTCATTATAACCATATCAGCACTATCTTTTCGATTAGCTCCACTAACTGAAGAAATAATAGGTGGTGATACGGGAGTTGTTTCATCTTGAAGACGACAATCATCATCAATTACACATTGAGCTAGAGCAACACCAAAGACATTTCCATTTGATTTAGCTTCTATAACACAAAAAAAAGTAAATAATTGACGGAAATATTTGAATGAAAATAGGATATAAACCTCTTGCTTCTTTTGATTTGTCACTTGATTTACTACGAAACATAAAATGATGTTTACGTTTTCTAACTGGTTCTTCTGAAAAGAAGAAAAAAGAACAATTAAAATATCAATGAAATTAATTGTTAAATCTTTAATAAAATTTTGCTTTTTTTTTTCTAATATATTTTTACATATATGTATATAATAGTTCATTACAATTTTGTCTTTCATCGAACTATGAAAAATTGCATTTTCTGAATGAATAATTCTATTAAATCTTAATGGAATGTCAATTTATCTTTATTTTTATCGTATCATTTAGATTTCTCCATATTTTTTCAATTAGAAATAAATATTATGAAGAAATACATTAACAAAATTCTTAAGGAGTCAGTGTCAAATTTCACTGTCAAATAAAAATGACTATCAGAGGAAGCAATCATCATTATCATTTATCTTATTTTTGTTTCTTTTATATCATGATGTTTTGTTATTCTATACTTTTTTTTCTCTGTTTTTTTGCATATTCTTCAAATTGACTGATTGACTTCTACAGAGATTAATGTATGTAAGACGAACCATTCAGTAAATGTCATGTAATTTATTTCTGTCTCAGATCGATCTATTTTGTGTTTTTTTTTCTCATTTTCTTGACTATTTTGATCGATAGATTCACATAAAACAAGAGAAAAAAAAATGAAGGATGTCCCAGAATAAGACACTTTGCTTCGCTTAGGACAATACGAACACGAATCAAGGCGATGCACGTACAACGGAATTCGATCAACGAGAGGTTGATTTGATTAGAAACGGGAATCTCTCTATTTTGTTCTTTTAATAGAATTTTCTTGATTTATACGTGCAAGTAAGCATAGGATCATTGAAAATTTGTTGCATGTATATGTCAAAAAATTGTCATCTCTAATCAAAGTTACCTTTCGGCACATGTATTGGCACGCCAAGATCATATTGTGATGATTGCAAACGTTGAAGAATAAGGCGTTTCAATTGTTTATGTTCAGCATATGTTAAATTATGTAATTCAATTGAACCAAGAACAATTATACTTGTATTATCAGATGAACACCATTGTGATTTATCAGTCTAGACATAAATAACAAAGAAAAATATCTGATCAGAAGGAGAATTTGATAAAAAAATTAATGCAACAATCCTTTATATGTACATATATCGATCAATGACAGATGTTTGCTAGTATATATATATAGTTATGGAAAAACAACAATGCAAATAATCAAATGAAAAACGAACATATGGAAAACATCATAAACTAAATGTAAAAATGTAAAAATAATAGCAAAATAAGTGTCTATAACTAATTCTACCTAGGTCATTTAGATTTATCGTTATTTAAGATGTGTTTATTTTTTGTTTTTTTTCTTCTGATAAACAAAGATCATGTTGACCGACAAAAATATAGTTTTTTTTTTTTTTTTTTTTTTTTTTGAATATATATTATTTTCTTTCTATAAATAAATGCCCTCATTCGATTA